AGCAGAGATTCAAAGTAGTGCAGTAACAAACTATAACCTGGGTTGAATAGTACTGCCCACAACTTCATGCATACCTGAATCCTCAGAACGTGTCTGTGTTTGGAATTTCTCCCAGGGAATATTTTTTTAAAATTTATTTTTTAATTAGAGGAAAATTGCCTTAAAATGTGTTGATCCCATTTTACTAGAAATAAATGTAAGGAAAAATAAACAGAGTGATCTTACAGGAAATTGCTAGAGAAAACATCTTTGGATGAAGTGATTGAGGGAGTCCTCTCTGGACGTGTGAGAACTGCTTTCAAAATCTAGGTGTTATGGGACTTCCCTGGTAGCCCAGTGGTTAAGGTTCCCTGCTCCCAATGCAGGGAGCCTGGGTTCGATCCTTGACCAGGGAACTAGATCTCTCAGGCTGAAACTAAGACCTTACATGCCGCAACTAAAACAAATAAAATAGATCTTGTGTGTGGCAGCTAAGACTGGCACAGCCACACACCCACAAATTAGCTGTTATAAGAAGGAAAGAGAAAACCTAAATATATGGGTGAAAATCAGACAGGCCAATTATGGTTCTATATAATGCAGAATTCTTTAAGGATGAAATCTACCCCCAAATGGAATGGAGAACTTCTTGGAGTAGTCCATATAGAGAAGGATTTGTTCTCTGATTATTACCCTTTGGGGCCAACTCATAGCCATATTGTACCTCTGGATCTTGTCCAAGGATTTTCAAGTGGATTTTACATTTGATTCTTATCTTTCCATGACGTATCTCCTTGCTCCCCTTGAAGGGGAGAAAAGGGATTTGATTCCTACTAAGCATTCATTATGTACTGGCCATCAGGCTAAGGTTAGAGAAAGGCTGATGGATTTCAGCTGAAAGATTTGTCACCATTGGCACTACTGACATTTTGAGCTGAATAATTTTAAGTATGTTATAAGCATATTTTTTTTCACTTGATCCTTACCAGTTGGTGTTGTTTTTACCTGCCTGGTATGGGCAGGGGAGCAGAGATTCAAAGTAGTGCAGTAACAAACTATAACCTGGGTTGAATAGTACTGCCCACAACTTCATGCATACCTGAATCCTCAGAACGTGTCTGTGTTTGGAATTACAGTCTTCGCAGGGGTAATTATTAAGAATCTTGAGGGGCTTCCTAGGTGGCTCAGTGGTAAAGAATCTGTCTGCCAGCGCAGGAGACATGAGTTCAATCCCTGATCTGGGAAGATCCCACATGCCAAGGAGCAGCTAAGCCCATGTGCCACAACTACTGAGCCTGTGGTCTAGAGTCCGGAACCGCAGCTCCTGAGGCCCATGTGCCCTGCAGCCTTTGCTCTGCAACAAGAGAAGCCACCACAGTGAGAAGCTTATGCACGGCAGCTAGAGAGTGGCCCCTGCTCTCTGCAACTACAGAAGAGCCCTAGCACAGCCAAAAATTTAAAAAAAAAATGATAATAAGAAGAAAAGAATCTTGAGGAGGTCATCCCAGATTTAAGGTTTGCTTGAAATCCGATGAATAGTTTCCTTACGAGAAGAGGACGGGATACACACAGACACAAAGAAGATGGCCATGTGAAGACGGAGGCAGATATTGAAATGAACAGCCACATGCCAGCAAACAATAATTGCTAGAGCCTCCCGAATCTAGGAGAAAAGCACGGAAGAGATGCTCCCTCAGGGATTCCAGAAGAAATCAATCCTGTCAACACCCTGATTTCAGACATCTGGCCTACAGAACTGTAAGGGAATACATTTCTGTTGTTTTACATCACCTCACTTACAGAGAGTACATTTCTGCTGTTTGTTACTGCAGCCACAGGAAATTAACGCATCAACCCGAGATCACCCCGCAAAGAAGTAGTACAATCAGTGTTTAAACAATAGGTGTAACTCCAGAGTTCCTGCTTTTCCCTTCATATCTTTCTTTCCAACAGAAAGTAATGAGCTGTTCAGGTCCTGCTTCCTTAAGTAAGCCTATGACTTTCCTGCCCCAATGTGCTTCCCTGGTGGCGCAGGCGGTAAAGAATCTGCCTGCCATGCAGGAGATCTGGGTTCGATCCCTGGGTTGGGAGGATCCCCTGGAGAAGGGAATGGCAACCCACTCCAGTATTCTTGCCTGGGAAATCCTACAGACAGAGGAGCCTGGTGGGTTACAGTCCATAGAGCTGCAAAGAGTTGGACACGACTGAGCAACTAAGTACATATACACACCTCCTCTGTCTGATGACTGTCCTACTATCTGGCCTGGGGCAGAAGCCACCTCACCAGTCATGAGTCAACAGTCCTCTTGGATGCTCCTGCCCTGATGTTGCCCTTGTTGTTTTCCTGGCTCTGGTCTGGTGGTCCTTTCAGCTGATTGGTTAACAGCCCTCCAGTCTCTGTCTTAAGAAACCATGCAGACTGACTCTAGTTTACTGCCAAGAAGTGTTGATTGGTCTGAAACATGATGTGAACTAAATACTACTGGCCCTGGTGCTTTGGATCCTCAACCTCTGAAGGTCGTATGATATCGCTACAATATCTTCCCTGATGAAAGCCTCTGTCCTTGCCTCACACAATCCCTGGTGTTTCCCTGACCTCACCTTCCCTTCCAGTATTTCCAGGTGGTTCCTTAGCTAAATATGCATTCACCGAGCATCACATGCTCCCACTACCGACTTTTGGAATCTTCTGTAAGCAGCTTCTCTGATAGTATAATGATCCCCTATGTCATGGTTTCCCAACTGGTGCTAGTGATAAAGAATCTGCCTGCCAATGCAGGAGACGCAGGAGACTTGGGTTTGATCCCTGGATTGGAAAGATCATCTGGAGGAGGAAATGGCAACCCACTCCAGTATTCTTGCCTGGAGAATTCCATGGACAGAGGAGCCTGGTGGGCTACAGTCCGTGGAGTCACAAAGAGTTGGACATGAGTGAGCAAACACACAGTCGCAGCCACACACACATCACAGTTTGCTTTGAGCTTTGGGCACAATTTTTTTTCCTTCAGAACAATTTAGGAAACAGACATTTTGTTTAACTAAACCCACCTTCTCTGGGTAGTCAGACAGGACGGGCTGGACAGAGACAAATCTAGGCTTTGGGTGAGTTATCTCTTTTTTCTTCTTTTTTAAATCTCTGTTTTAAATCAGTGCCCTCATGTTTAAGGATGAAGAATCCTTCCGACTAGTTTTTTGAGTTGATTTTTAAAACCCTTCCTTTGGCTAATTCATTTCAATGTATAACAAAAACTACTGCAATGATGTAAAGTAATTAGCCTCCAACTAATAAAAATAAAAGGAAAAAAAATAAATAAAATTAAAAAAAAAATAAAACCCTTCCTTTTCACATTTTCCTCACTGCTGCTTCCATTTCAGATTTGATGCCCTTTGCTGAAAATGAGAGATGAGAGAAGGGCAATTGAGGTTAACTGACTCCTTATTGTGAATAAAACCTTCACAGGACCTCCCATCTATGATGGAGCATGAGCAATTCCTTTCTCCATCAAACACAGAAGGCCCATAGTCCATGAAATATTTTGATTTCTTTTAAACTTAGAAGAAAAAAGATGATTATTCAACAGAGGAGTCTGGTGGGCTACAGCCCATGGGATTGTAAAGTGTCGGAGAGGACACGACTGAGTGACTAACATACACACACATGTGTCTTTATACCAACAATAATCTATAAAATAAAAATTAAAAAAATTTATTGATTAAGGGGCAGAAAAAAAAAAGAAAAACTTGCCTCTGGCTCATTAAAGTTACACTGCATTCCTGCCTTTCTTTCTCTTTGATAGTTTGATAATCAAATAATGAGTTACCTGAAAGCCCAGTTCACAAGTATTTTCTCTTCTTTTGATCTATTTGACACTCACCCCCAAACACAGCACCAGGTGCATAGCAAGTACTCCCTAAGCATTTGCTGAATCGATAAAATCTTCAAGGGAAAAAGTTACTGTGATGAGATGTCTAAGGTGACAAAGAGATTGACTGGCAGAGCTGGGAGCAGGACACTTTCTGATCATTTCTAAGATGTGTGCTTTCAACTCTACCAGTTGAACTGAGGTTTGTTTCCTTCTGCCCTGGCTCTTCAAGCAAATTTGATTTGATCTCTGAAAACAGCTCTAGGGTGTCAGGGTTTTAGATTGTCCCTGAAAGGGTTGCTGAAAGTGTCTCTGGGCTGTGCCCAAGATTCTGTCAAAGTCTGATCTCTCAGCTATGGTCAAGAGCTCCAAGTCTGCCCATCTCAGCAGCTATCATGGAAATTCAAGTGCGCACAGTAAAACAGAGGCTTCCTAGGCGGCGCAGTGATAAAGAATTTGCCTGCCAATGCAGGAGATGACAGATTTGATCCTTGGGTCAGGAAGATCCCCTGGAGGAGGGCATGGCAACCCACTCCAGTATTCTTGCCTGGAAAATTCCATAGACAGAGGATCTTGGCAGGCTACAGTCCATGGGGTCACAAAGAGTCAGACATAACTGAACATGCACCCACGCACACACACACGCACACACACACACAGAGTAAAATAAATGACAGTCTGGCTTACTCAGGCTTGTGGCTGTGCCAGCTGACTGAGATAAAATAAATAGATGCCTCCCTTCAAGATAGGGAAGATTAAGAGGTATATATAGTCTCTCTCTCTCTCTCTCAAACTTGGTGTGATCATAAAAATCAAATAAAGTCATAGTTCCTGGGTACCATTCTTCCCACCAGTATCTCCCCTCTAATTATGCCTAGATCCCAGAAAGCCCTGCAAACAGTGGCATCCCAGGTTCTCACCTCTATTTGCCAGAGTCGAAGAGACTGTCTCACAGCCTCTATGCACACTTCAATTCTTATCCCAGGATGCCTTGATAAAACCTCCCTGGAATCCAGCACCTTTGGTTAATGAGTCTGGCCTTGGTCTGTGGGATGACTGATATAATTGTCTGAGGATATAAGCTCTGGAGAACAGTGTTGCATCAGAAAGCTTCATTTTATCTCCATTTTTTTTTCCCCAGAGAGAAAATTATCAGCTATGGGAGCCAGAGCTCCCAAGACTGGAATGACCCCAGGAGATTTGTTTTTCATCTCTCAGTTCCAGGAATGTGGGAAGCACTTCGATAGGTAATTGAACTTTCCAGAGAATCTAAATTCAAACTCAAAAGGCTTTGTTTGTCCTTTTTACAAAAATAATTTTACTTCTTTATTTCTGGCTGTGCTGGGTCTTTGTTGCTATGCAGGCTTTTCTCTAGCTGCAGCGAGCGGGGACTACTCTCTAGCTGCAGGGCACAGGATTCTCACTGTCGTGGCTTCTCTTGTTGCGGAGCGCAGGCTCTAGGGTGCTCAGGCTTCAGTAGTTGTGGCTCCCGGGCTCTAGAGGGCAGGCTCGGTAGTTGGGGTATGTGGGCTTAGTTGCCCTACGGCATGTGCTGTCTTCCTGGATCAGGGATCAAACCTGTGTCTCCGGCTTTGGCAGGTGGGTTCTTTAACAATGAGATGGCAGGGAAGCCCTACTTGTCCTCCTGTGAGAGAAGGGGTGTGAGAATCTTTTTTTTTTTTTTTAAGCATGGACACACTTGTGTGTATACACACAAATAACATTTCTTATCTTCAAAGAATCTTCTGAATGAAGCAATAAAATTGCGATGTTGAAGGAAGAGCCAGGAAATAGCCCCACTTTCTTATACTACCTTTTCTAGAGTAATTCCCTTCTCTAATCTGTAGTCTCTGAGGGTGCTCACAGAATTCACAGACACTAGAGAAGTAAGTGAAGACTGATGGTGTTGGAACCCCTGAGGACTGTGACAAGGTCACTGAAGGAAAGGGAAGGAACTTAGTGTTCATGCAGTGATGTCTAAGACAATATCAGATGATGAAGAATGAGAACACAGGAGTAATAAGCCAAGACACAGAACCGGCTGTGACTTCATGAAGTCAGGAAAGCAGGCAAGAACAGTGGCTACACATAAATCACAGTCAAGGAATCATCCTTGCGTGAACATAGTCAATTGCTCATCCCAGCTAAAACCATGACAAGGGATATCTAGGTGAGGCAGTTTGCAAAAATGATTGCTTTGTTTCTTTCTTGATGTTGTCTGGTACTTGGAGGACCACGGTGGTGGTAAAAAGATGTCAACTAAAGGAGGAATTAGAGAAGATGAAGCCCTATGGTATGGAGGAGGAGGTCAGGCATGATATCTGTAGGTACTCCGCCTTGAAGATCATCTCCGGCTCAAAGAGAAACTCCGGATTGTCTTGCTCCTCTGAGAGTCTTAGGAGGAGTAGGTCCTTAGTAATTGTCTGTTTTTATGGTTCCATGAGGCTTCCCTGGTGGCTCCGATGGTAAAGAAGCTGCCTGCAATGCAGGAAACTTGAGTTCGATCCCTGGATTGGGAAGATCCTCTGAAGCGAGGGCATGGCAACCCACTCCAGTATTCTTGCCTGGAGAATCCCATGGACAGAGGAGCCTTTGCATCCATGGGGTCGCAAAGAGTGGGACACGACTGAGTGACTTTCACTTTCACATTTGGAAGGATGCATCTTGGGTGCTAAGCTGACCAGTATCTGGATGAGGCATACATGCAGGGGAGTGGTCCAGGTGGTAGGTGTAGGCCCACAACCTTGTTCTGAGAGGCTTGTGGCTCATGGCATCTCCAGGTGGTACTAGCAGCGAAGAACCTGCCTACCAATGCAGGAGACGTAAGAGACTTGGGTTCGATCCCTGAGTGGGGAAGATCCCGTGGAGGAGGGAATGGCTACCCACTCCAGTATTCTAGCCTGGAGAATCCCATGGACAGAGGAGACTGGTGGGCTACATCCATAGGGTTGCAGAGAGCCAGACATGGTTGAAGCGACTGAGCTTGCACGCATGTGGCTCATATCCTTTAGCACCAGCTTCCTCTGTTTCCTTCCCTGCCATTCTCTTGGAATGGTAAGTTGTCTAGACGTTTGATTCCTGTGCTGAGGCAAGGAAGAAGGAGAGATGTAGCAGGGTTGAAGGGAGAGGTTTCCTTGCAAGGATTTGGGGAGAAAATTCTGCTTAGTCAGGAGCAGCTCAGAGCAGAGTGAGCTGCAGCCTGTCTGAAGGCACGTGTGGGACGAGAGGGCTCCACAGAAGCTCAGCATCCTAGGTCCAAACTCCCCTCCGACTGTGGGAAGCAGACAAGACAGGGAGTTGGGCAAGCGAGACCTTTAATCCTATTTCACTGGCTGGAACTTGGTGTTATGCACTTGCTCTGATCACAGGAGAGGAGGGCCTCTGCTTCTTTGTGTCCATTAATCCTCACTCCCAACATTTCCCTCTGTAGAAGCCTCAGCTAGGTTTGTAAGGTATTTTATCATTTATTTATTTATTTTATCCCACACCGCGTGGCTTCTGGGATGTTAGTTTCCTGACCATGGGTTGAACTTGGACCCTTCCCCGGTGGCTCAGCAGTAAAAGAATCTGCCTTCAGTGCAGGAGCCATGGGTTTGATCCTTGGGTGGGAAAGGTCCCCTGGAGAAGGAAATGGCAATCCACTCCAGTATTCTTGCCTGAAGAATCCCATGGAGAGAGGAGCCTGGCAGGCTACAATCCATGGGGTCTGCAAGAATCAGACACGACTTAGCGACTAAACAACAGCCTCAGCAGTCAGAGGGTGGAGTCCTAACTACTGGACTGCCAGGGAATTTGCTGTAAGTTATTTTAAATCCTCAGCATAAATTGTGCTTCTGTCTAGATTCTCCCTAGAGTCCAGCAGGGAATAGTGGTGGGGAATGAAAGTGAAAAAAGTCAAAGTCAGTTGCTCAGTCATGTCTGACTCTTTGAGATCCCATGGACTGTAGCCCACCAGACTTCTCTGTCTGTGGAATTTTCCAGGCAAGAATAATGGAGTGGTTTGCCATTTCCTTCTCCAGGGGATTTTCCAGACTCAGGGACTTAACCTGGGTTTCCTGCCTGGCAGGCTGATTCTTTACTGTTTGAGCCGCCGGGAATGGTTTTCTCTAATCTGTCAGGGAGAGATCCAGCATCAGGCATTGAAACTTTCTGGGAAGCTGAATTTAATCTAAACTTACTGAGGAATATTGAACCATGTGACCATCACATGTACTACATGCATTGTCAGGGGGCAGCATAGGAGGTACTGATGAAGAATCAGGAAGAACAGATTAGAGGGAGCTTGATAAAGAATTAGGAAGAATAGGATGTATGATTGAATTTGATGTAAATATGTTTTAAGGATACCTAAGACTTGTTTATTATTTTATTGAGGTATAATTGACCTATAAGGGTTATATTGGTTGAAGTCATGCAATGGAACAATTTGATATTTGTATACATTGCAATATGATCACCGCACAAATTGAGTTGACATCCTTCACAGTAGATAGCTACAAAAAGAGTTTTCTTTCCTGTGATGAGGACTTTAAGATTCATTCTCTTAGCAACTTTAAAATATGTGAAAGTGGAAGTTGCTCAGTCATGTCTGATTCTTTGTGACCCCATGGACTGTACAGTCCATGGAGTTCTCCAGGGCCGATTACTGGAGTGGGTAGCCTTTCCCTTCTCCAGGGGATCTTCCCAACCCAGGGATCGAACCCAGGTCTCCTGCATTACAGGCAGATTCTTTACCCGATGAGCCACAAGGGAAATATTAAAGTATGTAATACAATATTAATGAACTATAGTCACTATGCTGTGCATTGCATCTCCAAGACTTACTTATTTTAAAACTGGAACTTGCACTTGTTTTTAGCCAGTTATGGCAAGATACACAGACATGGGAATTAGTGCCATAGATGAAGTTTTTACTCATGTTTCCCCAGAAACAGGAGGCATGGCATGCCACACAGGGCCACATGGGCAAGCAGCAGTGTCAGTCAGGAGAGAGAGGGAGCGAGAAGAACTCGTGAGCAAGTTTCTAATGTGGTCTCTGTGAGAAGGAGCAGGCTGAGCGGTGGCTAACTTGAATAATTTTGGCAGGCTCTGGAGTATAAGGGCTTTCCCTAGTTGTTTGGTACCTGGCTTGGCAGGTAGATAGTGACTTGAGGTATAGGAACCAGACGAAGGAGGCTACTGGGGGTATGGTTGGTTTACATATGAAAAGCGTGCTTTTGGATAAGTTGTTTGCTGTCTCCAGGAAACAGGATCAGCAATAGGTGTCAAAACACCAGAAAATAAAGAAAACAAAAAGGAATGAATAACACAAAATACCACTGCAAATTCAGTGGTCATTTTTTTCCCAGTAGTCATGTATGGATGTGAGAGTTGGACCATAAAGAAAGCCGAGTGTTGAAGAAATGATGCACTTGAACTATGGTGTTGGAGAAGACTCTTGAGAGTCCATTGGACTGCAAGGACATCAAACCAGTCAATCCTAAAGGAAAT